CCACTCCCCCAACAACAAAAGACAAATTATTCAGGAAAGACCTGAAAAGATATGAAGTTTCCACCTGGGCTGATCCGGAAGCTCAGAGCAAGCCTCACTGAATGTCAAAGGAGAGCACCAGGATGGAGCCAATGTGAAAAGGACAGGAAAGAAAGGGTTGGTTTGTTTGTTCATTCATTTTCACGTGTGTGTGTGCACAGGTACACATTTTGTTTGTCTACTTCCTGGCATTCAAGGTTTCAAGGAAACCTCTGCCAAACACGGGCTGAACGGGAGTTAAGGAGCAGAGACTTTGGTGAGCACACACATGGAATAGTCTTTGCAGAAATAATTTGGAAAAGTATCAAAATTAACAGTGCTACAGCCTTCAACAATACAGACCAACAGACAGAGGGGTGGCTCAGTCGCTTAAGTGTCCGACTTCGGTCATAATCTCACAGTTCATGAGTTCCAGCCCCGCATCGGGCTCTGTGCTGACAGCTCAGAGCCTGGAGCCTGCTTCTGATTCTGTGTCTCCCTCTCTCTCTGCCCCTCCCCCACTCACTTCCTGTCTCTCTCAAAATAAACAAACATTTAAAAAATAATAAAATCAAACAAACCCCCACCCCCTCCAGGCCCCTTCAGCTCCCCCTGCTCTGCCCAGCATGGCACACTTGGCCCGCTGTCTTCTCTGTATGCTCTGCTCCTGAAGGTCGACTTCCTGGTTCCTGGGGACAGGGATCCTGAACATGTAAGGGGACAGACTAGACATGTTGTCCCTGGAGCGAGCAGCAGTCAGGACCAAGGGCTGCAGAAGCTGGAGAGCTGAGGCTGGCCGCTCTTTGGTTCTCGCTTGCCGGCGGGGCCACCACCAGCATCGGGAGGGAGCCCACTCCTCCAAGGCCACTGCCGATGTGCGGAAGGGCCGGCAGCAAGACCAGCGGTCTGCTTTATATATTTTTTTTGTCTGCTTTATATATTTTTTTAACATTTTTTTTTTTAATTTCTGAGAGAGAGAGAGAGAGAGACAGCGTGAGAAGGGGAGTGTCAGAGAGAGAGGGAGACACAGAATCTGAAACAGGCTCCAGGCTCTGAGCTGTCAGCACAAGCCCGATGTGGGGCTCAAACTCACGAACCGTGAGATCATGACCTGAGCCGAAGCCAGCCACCCAACCGACTGAGCCACCCAGGCGCCCCACTATCTGCTTTATAGAACCCCTATATGGACAAGATGCCAGGTCCTTCCTGAGGGCAACCTGGAGGAGCGGGTGGGCAGCTGGGACAAGCCATCCCTCACTGCTACCTCCACGGGGTCCCCCGGCCCACCTCAGGATTTGGCCAAAGAAGACCTTAGGTCTTAACGCACCAAATATGGGCAAGGTGGAGAACGCAGTTGCCAAGCCACCAAGCAGGGCTTGGAGCTCAGGCACTGGGCTACGTGGGGACAGGTCTGGAAAGCTGACCTCTGATGCCTAGCCTCCAGCCTTCAAGGTGTGGCTCCTCATGTCCTTCCCAGCTCTGGGAGCTGGGCGAGCGACTTCTCAGCGGTGGTCGTTCTCGGCACTGCCCCTGCACTTTCTAACCCAGAGCTGAGGAGTTGGGTGGCGAGCTGCAGGGTCCACGAGGGTCTCTGAAGGGACCTGAAGCAGGTCCCCAACCTGGGGTCCCACAGCCCCCATCCAGGGAGCGGGTGAGGGCAAGCGGGGGTGGGCCTGACTTCACTGGATATCCAACAGCTTGGCAGCCAGCCACTGGCTGGGGCAGCCCCATGGCCTCCGCCCTGAGTCACAGAGGAGACACACAAGGTGTGTCCAACCCGCTGTGTCAGGGGGCAGAGTCCAGCCCAGGCGGTACATCCTTTCACTTTGAACTAGAACAGTTAGGAGACTCTGGCACCAGGATACTCTCTGGTGGAGCTTCGGCTGGGCCCCTGCCTCTGAGCCTCACACGCCAAGGCGGCCAGCTACACAGGGATGAGCCTGAGGCCAAGTCCGTGCTAGAGACACAGAGGTGGCCAGCCCAGGTGGGGAATCAGAGGGCAGTGCCCCAGCAAGACAACTTCCAAATTTAGCAAATAGGAAGGTCAGGGGTGCCTGTGTGGCTGTTAAGCACCCGACTTGGGCTCAGATCATGGTCTCGCAGTTCATGTTTGGAGCCCCATGTCAGGCTCTGTACTGACACCTCAGAGCCTTGGAGCCAGTTTTGGATTCTGTTTCCCTCTCTCTCTGTCCCTCCCCCACTCACCTTCTGTGTCTCTCAGAAATAAAATTAAAAAAAAAAAAAAACATTTAAAGAAAACGTCAGCCAACTATATCTAAATTTGAGGCAATGAGTAATTTTATAGTAGGTTGCACATACCGCATGGGACACACTTATGCTAAAAAGTGACAGCCTCATAGATAATCAGGCTCAGAGAAAGGATGGGGCTTCCAAGTAAGGTGGGCAGAGCCCAACACCAGCCCACCCTGTCCCTCACCCGGGTGCTACTGGCCTGGTTTTTCTCTGAGCCTCAGTTTCCCCATCTGTAGAATGGGATGGGTGTATAGACAAGAAAGCTTGCCTCTCAAAGTGTCTTGAGTCCAGCACCATCGGCCTCCCCTGGGAGGAAGGTCATGAGCAACACGGAGTCCCAGGCCCTGCCCGAGACCTGCCGGCTCAGCCCTGCGGCATAAGGGGAAGCCTATGACCCAGGTGTGTGCAGAGGTGAGGAGAGGCACTGCGTGCAAGGCCCTATGGGCGTGTCCCACACACAGGAATACTTGGACAGGTCACTTCACCCTACTCACAAAAGAGACGCCACAGAAAGCCAAGAAAGGCAAGGGGCCTCCTCAAAGCCAGGCAGGCCAGCGCACTGCCATGTCACAAGGGGGCCCCCACAAAGCCAGTCAGGCCGGCACACTGCAGTGTCACAAGGTTCCCCCCCACAAAGCCAGCCAGGCCGAGCACCACCATGTCACAAGAGGCCCCCTGCTCAGGTGCACACTCACTGAGCTCTGATGTCCCAAGAGGTGTCTGGCCCCCTCCCCACGCACAAATGGCCGTGATAGACACACATGGGGCACCCCACATTTCCTTCTGCGGAGCAGAGGCCAGCACTTGGCAGGGGCATTTCCCAATTCCACCCAACTGCCCCTACCTCCTGGGGACCCTGCCCCCAGAGACCAAAGTGCCTGGAATGTGCTCCCCTGAGTCACTGACCCTCGGCAGATGGGTATCAGCTAGTTGAGCCACCCAAGGCTCTGGGTCCAGAGGTTTCTGGGAGAACAGTGTTTTCCCAACCGTTATCACCACAGCCGTTCACTATCTGATCAGGGTGCTGCTCTTCTCCAATCCACCCTTCCTCCCCCCACCTTCTTGGGATTTAGCACAGGACTCCTATCTCTCAAGTTCATTCCTCAGCCTTTCCCTATTTTGGGGATACCACTTTGCCTTCTTTCCGTCCTCCGAAGCACCAGGACCCCACAGGCTATTCCTAGTCAGGTCTGTCTCACTCGGTACGCTGTCCACCCCGCCCCACCCCTGTACCTGGCAGGCCCCAGCAAGGGGGAGGTCTGTAGCCGGGGGGTATCAGAGAGCAAATTCCTGCCTCCCAATGGCACCCACTCAGGCTTCCGTGTGGGTGACTCTGCAGGCTGGGGGCAACACAGTCACTGTGTTCTGCTGACTTTTCTGCCGTGAGCCTTATGCTTCAAGCTTCTAGCAGGCTCATGGCAGAAGCCATCCGTTATCACAACAGCCACTCACTATCTGATCAGGGCGCTGTTCTTCTCCAACCTATCCCACTCCTTCCAGATCCAGGGGGTCCTTCACCTGCACAAACCTGTCCTGAGGGCCTGTCTGGCTTTGGTTTGGACACACATGGACAAGTCTAGCCCTGGGTGGCCTCAGTTTCCCCATATGTAAATTAAGTAAATGGACACAGCAGAGCCTAACTGCAGGGCGAGGTGGGGACTGGATGACCCTCTGTGGGGTCAGGGCACAGGGACACATCACTCACCACTGCCCCGGCCGGCTGACTATCAGCGCCCATTCTACCTCTCAGGGAGGGGTGCCTCGGATGGCATCTGCCCTGTGGTAGCAAGGGTGCCAGCCAGGCCAGCTGCTCCTCTAGCATGGGGCCCACACCCCACCCACCAACCCTCACCTGTCTCATGAGCTCAGTTTGCCCAGGAACTTCTGAGCCTCTGCTCCCCACCCAGGAACCAGGAACAGCCTTCTCCAGAGCTTGTTGCTGAAGAGGACGGGTGCACAGCCCCAGCTCTGTCCCCAAGTGGAGACCAGGCACAGAGCAGCCCCCTTGAGCCCAAATTCCTGCATCTGGATCTGGGCTGCAAGCGCACTGGCCAAGAGAACGTGGAGGCGGCGGGGTCAGAGGGACCAGAGCCTCGGAGAGAAGTTGCTAGAGCCCTCTTGGATGGCCCCGAACATCCAGGGCTCTTGTGCGCGGCCAGGCCTCAGCCCTGCATGGCCTCACAGAGCAACTCTAGGCTTGCTGGAGCCCCAAGGGCCCACTCAGGCTCATCGTAGAGCCCCACCAGCACACCCCAGAAATCCTTAAATGCAACAGCAGCAGGAAATACATGGCCCTGGCAACCCAAGTGCCACCACACCCGAATGTAAGCAAAGACACGGCTTCCTTGCTGTCCTATATCCTCTCCCAATCAGCCTGGCCTCACGAGGCCCATAGCAGGTGACAGTAACACCAGAATCCAGCATGAGGGAGACCCCTGCCTTTGGAGAGCTGCTGGGATCTGCTCCTTCTGGGGCTTTCCAGCTCGGTAGAGAGCACTGAATGCTGCACGCATGCACACCCATGACAGCTCCCTGGCTCAGGGAGGCATTTACGATGCACCCAGGTCTGGAGGAGGTGTGGGGCTCACAGCTGGGAAGGTCCGTCTCCTTGTGGTGCTTCAGGGTCAAGCCCTGGGTGCAGCAGTGGCTGTCCCAGAGACCCAGGCGACGTGGGTCACAGCATCGCACGGCTGACCTCTGCTGGCCCAGCGGGAACCACACACAGCAGGCAGAGAGCCAGGCGCCGCCTCCTGGATACGGTTTAATTCCCAAGGTTTCCAGGGATAAGCGTCCCTTCCCCCGTACAGGAAGCACAGGCTGAAAGGGCCAGAGTCCTTACTCTGTTGAGCAGCACAATGCTGGCCTGGCAGCACCAGGAACCCAGACCACCATGAGTCTGCCAGCCCCGCGATCTGGTCTGTCCAGGGCGGAAAGCCGGGCCCGCTCTCTGCTCGGCCCCAGAAGGGGTGGCACAAGACCCTGGACTTTTCTTGTGGCCTCAGGGAGGCACAGCTGCAGGTCGGCGGCTCTCCTCTCTGTGCCTGAAGCTGCGCAGTGGGTTCCGGCTCCTCGCCTTCTGTCGGGCAAGGTCGCATGTTAGCCAGGAATCAGGTTTAACGAAGACGTGGTCCCCGCTGGACAGGGCAGGCAGCAGACCCTCCTGCTTTCTTGAGGCCCTTCCCCCACCAGTCCTCAGAGCAAGGTGTGTGCATGCCCCGAAGACAAAAGAACGAGACAGAAGCCCTGCGGCACTGCCAGGGCCCCAGGAAACTTACCTTAACCTTGGTCTTCTTAGAGGCCACCTTCTTCCGCTTATGAGGGTGGACAAGACCACGCAGAGCAGGAGGGACTAGAAAACACAGAGACCCTGCGGCTGCCACCACCCTTGCCCGCATGACCCACCTGCCCACCCATGCCCCCTGTAGCTGGCGCCTGGCGAGCTGGCTCCAAACTGACCCTACGTCCAAAGTGCCCAGGAGCCCCCGCTGCCTCCCGTCACGTGCCCAGGGCCGTGGGCATGGCTGTCTCCTGGGGTGAGATTGCGGAGATAAGGGCTAAATCCCTCCCCGACAGTTTCAGTTTGCTGCTTTAAGCACTAGGCAGAAAAGTAAAATCACATGCATTTTTAAGGCAAAAAGAAATACTTCTAAAATAGAAAAAGAACTTGCAAGTAACTTCTTCGCACACGGCCTATTATCACAAATTCATCCCTAACTGGTGGCCTCTCCTCTGACACCCTTCCTACACCCACCAGGCCACACAGTCACTGCTGCCCCCTGCTGCGATCCTTAGCCTCTGGCCTCACCTCCACTGGACCCTGGCAGGGTGCCCGCCCAATCCCCCCAGATCTCCACACCCCGTCGCCATCCTCTCCCATCTCCTAGGCCCCCACCACACACTCTTGCCAAAGACTTTGTTCCTGTGGAACAGAGGACAGGGTTCCCTCACCCTTTCTCCCTGTCCCTTGAGTTCACGGTCCCATCAATCCCTGTGGCACCTCCTATCTTCTGGATCCTTCCCCACCACTGGCTCAAGCCTCTCCTACACAACCCCAGGCTCACAGGGGCTGGCTGGCCCTTGCTGGCCCTTATCCCTTAATCCATCTTTAGCCAAGTTCAGCACAAAAACACACATGCTTGTCACCAAAGACACCGCACACTGCACACCATTACTGGTGTTAAGACTCTTCATAAAGAGAACCAGACTCCCGAACCTCTTGGTTGGATTTTGGCCTCGCCTGCACCCCAAAAGCCGAGCTCAGGGTCCATTCCTGACCTCTGACTGCAACCTGGGCAGCTCTGGTCACCCCACTGACTGTGGCAGAGACTCCAGCCCCCCACTCCCTTTCCACACCCACCCAGCTGTGCAGCGAGCCGCTGGAATGGGATCACCTGGCCTGCGGCACAGGGCCCTGCCCTATCTGCCCCCCATCTGCACAGAGTAGGGACCCCCTGCCTCCGCTGACCCAGGGTGCTGCACTCACCCAGGTAGTCGGGGACATGGCCCAGGTGAGGCTTCACCACGGCCGGGTGCAAGGGCAGGTCGTGCCGCAGCAGCTGGAGGTCCCGCGGGTTGTCTTCAAAGTATGTCTGTGGGGGGGGGGGGGGGGGGGGTCGGGCCACTGGCAGGATCAGGCTTCCTTCTAAGGCCCCTCCTGGGAGCAGCTGCGCCCCACGTGTTCCCCGCTCAGGGCCACGTGCATCTCCCATGGAGGCCGAGCGCCCCCACCCCGGCCCTCACCTTGAGCCTCTCCGAGTGCAAAAGTTCCTCCTTGATCTCCTTCAACCTCGCCTCTCGGATGGCCTGTTTGGTCACTGAGCGCATGGCGTCCTGGGTGTGCACACCCAGTCAGGATGGTGAGGTGGCCCAGTCCTCCCTCGTGCCCGGTGTATAGCATTAGGGGTCTGACGTGGGTCCCAGAGGAACGCCGCCCCGTCCCCCCCCGCCCCACATCCCACTCACCCTGCAGCGATAGCGGAAGCCCTCAATCTCCCCCATGCGGAACTGGTAGGGAAGCAAGACAGGAGCCCCATTCTCTGTGGAAAGGATGGCAAGGAGGGTCCCCTCGGCTGAAGGTTTGGGAGGGTCTACCGGAAACCATCTGCTCAGAGGCCCCCCGTAGCTCCCTCCCTGGGGAGCAGCAGCCCAGAGCCCAGCCCACTGCATCCCTGTGACGTGCATGAGCAGTGAAAAACCTGAGCCTCACGGATGGCCCACGACAGCTGCTCCAGGACAATGTGGCTTGGGCAGCCTGTCATCCTGAGCGCCGGTCACATCCTCAGCCTCGGAACCTCCCGCCTACCCACTCTCACCCCCTGCGGCCGCTCTGGCCTTAAGAGCAATGAGCACACAGCCAAGGGCGGCACAGAGCACCACTACCTGCAGTCAGAGCCCGTTGTGAGCAGGAGTGGCCGTGCTGGGACACTCAGAGTTCCTGACAAATTAGCATCCCAGCCGAGGAAACCAGGGCACAGAGCACCCCTGCATGCCTGCCAAGCAGTGCCCTGGCCTACCTTCCGCACCAGCCCATGGGCTCAATGCCACATGGTGAATGGTGTCCTTCCCGGACTCCCAACACGGGCAGGAATGAGGCCCCAGCGGAGCACTGTCTGGACCCTCCGCCCAGAACTCCCTGGCTGGCGGGCCGCCCGACCCATGCCCCCTGCATGGCCGCCCCTTGGCCTGGAAGACTGCCAACTAGGCAGCGTAACCTCGGAGGCACAGAGCCCAGACCATGGCTGGACAACTGAGAGTCAGGGCAGGACCTGCCACATAGTCTCCTCTCCCAAGGTCCTCTCCTGGGACACCACCATCCTCCTCCCCTCTCCCTAAACTCCCTTCCTCTACCCTTGCCTCTTGCATCAGATGAGATGCTTGACTGTGACCACTTGCCTGACAGCTCTGGGCCTCGGCTTGCTCATCTGGGGGGGACGCCACTTGCCACCCACGGCGGAAGAGGGTAGAGCAAGAGGGAAGTACAGGGCAGGACCAAGCAGGGGTGCTGCCGCTCACGCTAGCATCCCCACAGCCAGACCCACCACCAGGTCTAAGGTATCTCGAGAGAGGAGGGCTAGGCTCTCACCTCCACTGAGGAGCTCCTCGATTGTGTCCAGGTGGGACTGCTCAGAAGGCAGCACGAAGGTCAAAACCATTCCTGGGTTGTTGGCGCGGGCCGTCCTGCAAGGACACGCGGCCCGGCATGAGTCTCCGCTCCAGCCAGAACCCTGCTGCCTGCCCGCCACACCCCAGCCCTCCCACCTGCCAGCCCGATGGATGTAGGCCTCAGGGGTGGGGGGCAGATCGAAGTTGAGCACAGCGCACACGTGGTGGAAGTCTATTCCCCGGGCCACGCCGGCCTCCGGATCAGAAGCCCTGTGGGAAAATGTCCCAAGTTTAAAACTCTAGAATCATAGGGAAACGAACTTGACAATAAACTATTTGTAAAAAAAAAAAAAAACAAAAAACAAAAAAAATCTCTAGAATTGGGACTGTTTCAGGAGCTGGAGTGGTGGAGATGGCCACCCCCTTGCCTTGACCTCACCGTGGGGGGAAGAGTCGACCAACCACACAACAGGGCAATCGGAGCACCACGCCTGGAGCCCGTCAGGGTCAGTTCCCTTCAGAACCCTGCTCCTCGCCCATCACGGCTACGCACCCAGCACAGGATGGCCGCCAACAATGCAAGTTTGGCCCTTACTGCTGCCCCAGGGCACACGCAAGTGCACCCTTCACCCCTCTTCTCGGCCCTGCAGGACTGAACACTGGATTTCCTGCAGGGGCTGGGAAGAGAGACCAGCACTCACCTGTCCCCCTTGGGTCCCTTGCCCCGACGCTTGCCCTTGACTGGGGCCCCCAGGACCTCGGTGTCGGTGGCAATGACGCAGTCATAGAAGCCGTGGTTGAACTGTGAGATGATGTGGCACCTGTGGCCCCAGAGCGGAGGCATCGTCAGCCCCAGGAGTGAGGTGGAGGCCCCCTCCCACCCCAACACCCTCGTAACCACCATCCTGACTCCTCCCTCTTCTCCAGCTCTGCTCCTACTAAACCTCCATGCCTCAACAACCTCAGCTGAAGACAAGTGACAGTGGGAACCTCAGAGTCATGCCACAGAAAGTCAGCAAGGGTCGCCTGGCCTCTATTTCGCACTCAAGAGACGGGAACGGCAGCCGTGCCTCCCTGCCATCCCCTCTGGCACACCTCAGCGAGGGGAGACACGGCCCACCTGGACTGTAGCGGCAGCTCTCCATTGAGCACACAGGCGGGGATGCCGAACTGCTCCAGGAACAGGCGCAGCCGGTAGCTCCGCTCCAGTGTGTTAACGAACAGCAGGGACTTGCCCCGGATCAGCGAGAGCTTGAGCAGTGCGTACAGCAGCAGGAACTTGTCCTCCTCCGTCTCACAGACCACCTGGAACTGCTTTAACTGGTCTGGCCCCGGCAGCTGGGACTCCTGCAACTTCAGGGTGACCTATGGGAAAACAGCCTTGTGGTCAGGAAGGGGACACGGCGCTGCTGCAAGCCAACCAGGGCACAAACGTGAGTGAGGGGCACCCCGCGTCCCCTTCATCTGGGCGCCAGAACAACTCATTCAAAGTCCCCTAACCGTCGTGTGGGTGGAAGACACAAGAGTATGATACACTGGGGGCATGTGACAAAGAGAAACACACCATAAAGGAGCACACCAAGGAAAGTCCATGGCAGCGACCTTTCAGAAGAGTTCAGCTCACTTAAGAAGAGAGCTTTGGCCATACTGCTCAAAGTAGTGTTTCTGACTCTTTGGGGGGGGCGGTCCCTGCTCAGGCCTTGAACCACTCCTGGCAGACACGTGCAAGCATGTGGTGGTAATTTTGAATTGGTGGATAGTGTGTTAACAACCCCTGGCCCCTAGTGCCTCAGAGCCCAGCAGGCTAACGCTCTGACAACTGTCCCACCCACGATACCAAAGGGCTCCTTCGAGTAGGGAGTTTCACATCAGCGACTCCAGGTGCCACTTCAGGGCGCTCACCGGGTTATGCAGTACCAGCTCCTTGAGGGCCTGCACATCCTCGTTGAAAGTAGCCGACATCAGAAAAGCCTGGTAAATCCGGGGCAAGTGACTGCAACAAAGCAGAGCCTGTCAGACTCCTGCTCCGAGGGCGCTCTGACCCCTGCTCCAGGCCCTGGCCTCGGCCCCCGCCACCCCCCCCACCCCCCCACCACACCAGCTTCCTTACCAGAGCAGACTCTTAAGTTCCTCCTCAAAGCCAAAGGAGAAGAGGAGGTCGGCCTCGTCCACCACCAGCAACTCCAGAGAGTCTCGCAGGGTCAAGCTGTCCTGCTGCAAGTGGTTTAAGATGCGAGATGGGGTCCCCACTATGATGTCAGGCTTCTCCATCAGCACAGCTCTGCAGGCAGGCAACACCTCAGTATCAGGAAGAAAAGAGCTGCGCGGACCTCACCCCTGGCCCAGTCTTCCTCCTGGCTGCACAACCCCCCAACCCCGTGTTCTTCATTCCTCCACCTGCTGCTCTCACCCACCTCTGAGAGGCTGAGTCCTCAGCAGCGGAGACGTCTGCCACCCGGATGTCCCGAGCGCAGTAGGCGGCCAGCTGCTGAATCATGGACCGGACCTGCCGCGCTAGCTCCTTGGTGGGGACCAGCACCAGCGCTCTCACAGCCTGCTCTACCGCGGGGCCGGTCTGCAAGAGCCCAAATGACGTACTTCAGCCGGCCAGCCCGCGCCACCTCTGGGCCATAGGCTGCTTTCCTCTGCCTCTTCCGGGCAATCTGGCCCAACTGGAGGGTCTTCCACACAACAACCTGGCGGTGTCCTGATCAAACCCTAGCTCACTTGTACCCTCCTCAGAACAAAAGGCTCTTTCCGCAGGCGCTGTTACAAAGTTACTTAGGCAGGAGTTAGTGCGCTGGAGTTCACATGAGCTCCCTAAGTAGGACCGGGAGGGGTGCCCATTCCCTGAAAGGAACGCGATATACTCGATATTATACAAAGAACGACGGTAGCAGCGCCTGGGCCGCGGCCAGGCAACCTCGGCCCAGCCCAGAGCGCGGACCACAGCAACAGGCTCGCGCCTCCCGCCCTCCGGGCTCCCGACCCAACCCACCGCCTTCCTGTGGAGCAGCAGCTGCAACATCGGAACGGCGTAAGCGGCCGTCTTCCCCGAGCCCGTGCGCGCCCGAGCCAAGAGGTCCTTCCCCTCCAGGGCCAGCGGGATGGCCTTCTCCTGGATCAGCGTGGGGCGCGACCAGCCCAGGTCGGCGACGGCCTAGGACACACGAAGCGCTCAGAGGGCGCGCGGCGCTGGCAGCCGCCCCACGCCCCATCGGCCGGGCTCCTCAACCCTCCCCGTTACCTGCAGGAGCCGAGGGTCGAGGCCCATGTGCTCGAATCCCAGCGCTTCGGGGTCCGCCATGCTACCGCTCTGAGACGCCTGCGCGCTCGCACGCCAGTCAGAGCGCGACTGCGCGAGGACGCGCCCCCGGAAGTGCTGCGGCCTGGGCTTCCGGCGCTCCGGCGGAGTTGTGCTGCTGTGGCGGTGCGCAGGGTCCGGGGTCGGTGGCAGAGCCGCGTCCCCATGCCCGACCGGGCGGGGGTTCCCCGTGGCGGAGGCGCGCCTGCGTGGACGCCGGCGGGGTCTCCTGGATGCCCGCCTCCGCCGGCCCACCACGGGCGCGGACCCGCAGCCTCCCCACAGTTGTTGCCTGTGGCTCCGCCTTCAGTTACCGCTGCCTCTGTCAGCCTCGCCCTAGGAGTCCTGCCAGCGCTGCCTCTTGCCGGGGGACTATCGTCGTTGCCGGAGTGTGTGCGCCCCGCCTGGGAGAGGGCCCGTTGTCCTTCCCCCGAACCCGCCCCTGGGCCGCCGCTCGAGGCCACCTTCTCTGCACCTGTGGTGCCCGTGGGGTCCAGGCTGCTGTGGGAACAGAGGAGAGGGCGGCGGCTTGCAGAGAAAGCAGGTGGTCCTGGGTGCACCTGCCCACGAGTTCAGGACCACAAGGCACTCCAGCAACTAGGCCGTAGAGGGATGAAGGTTGGAAAAACAATTAGCATGAGAGAGGAGGTTGGCCTGGGGTTCTTGAACGTGGCTGCCCATCAATTACCAGCACGTGGTTAAAAACAAGGATTCTTGGTCGCCACCTGTATCAGTTCCCTGTTGCTATAACAAATCACAAACTTAGAGGCATAAAACAACACAATAGTTCTGTAGTTCACTCTTACAAGGTTTCACTGGGCTGAAATAAAAATTTTGGCAACACTAAATTTCCTTCTGGAGAGTCCAGAGGAATCATTCATTCCTCCTTTGCCCTGCTTGCCTGGGGGCCCACTTCCTTCACCCTCAGCATCAGCAATGGGGGATTGAGTCCTCACATCTCATCACTGATATTCTTTTACCTCCACTTTTAATGAACCTTGTGATGACACTAGACTCACCCAGATAATTCAAAGTAATCTCCCTATTTTCAAGTCAAATCAATAGCAACTTTCATTTTCCTTTGCACAGAGCTGGAGACCAGGCCTCTCCCCGTACCGTTTTTTTGTGGTTAGGATACCATATTGCCTAAGAAAGCAAGAATTTCAGAATGTAATCAGGGTAGCATTGGAAGAAAAATCAGAACTCTCTGAATCTAGCCAAACTTGTTTTCTTAAAAAAAAAAAAAAACAACCGTAGACCACAAGGTATGTGAATGTCACACACCAGCATGGACACACTCCTCCCCACAGCCACCACTTGCTGGCCCATCTTCTGGCCATTGATATTCCACTTGCCCCATCAGTGGGACAAATGCCCACATTTGTCCTCTCTCCACGCCCCTTCCTTTCAAAACTTCACAGAATTTACTGACCTCCTGGCATAATCAAGATGCACTTGACTGTGTCTGCAGAGGACACACTGGAAGCCCACTCTGGCTCTTAGATATAGTCTCCTGCCCTCCCTCAGCCCAGGCTCCAGCAGAACAGCCATGGTCCCAGCCATGTCCCTTTGTCCCCAGGAGCCTCAAGCCAGAGGTCCACACAGCTAAGAAGTTCCAGGGCCATCTCTTTTTCCCTGTGTTAATTCTAACATAAGAAAATTTAAAACTAGGGGCTCCTGGTGGCTCAGTCGGTTGAGCATCCGAATTCGCCTCTGGCCCTGATCTCACGGTTCCAGGAGTTTGAGCCCTATGTCGGGCTCACTGCTGTCAGCCTATTAGCATGAAGCCAGCTTTGGATCCTCTGTCCCCCTCTCTCTGCTCCTCCCCCACTTGCACTCTCCTCAAAATAAATATATTTTAAAAATTGAAAACTAGTTTTAAACATTCAAGAAATTTTAGAGAAGTCAATTACAGAAAATCACTTACTGGACTGTTACATGCCCATCAGAATTAGAAACATGAGGAACACTTAGTTTTAAAAATTCTTACAGATATTGAATGACAAAGCTTAGAAAGCAACTTGCATGTATTTTTATGAGAAAAATACAAACACATGTGGAACAGCATGGGATGTAGGGAAAAAGATTTAGTTCTGTAGGTCAAATAAACAATACACGTTAAATAAGCAAATGCATACAATAAATAAAACCATGAAATAAAATGCCAAGATTGGGCAAGATGACGACAGCAGAGGGGCAGTGGGCTAAGATGTTTAAAAGATTCCAGGGGCTAGAAAACAGGTAGTTTATTTCTTCACATGATTCCCTGCAATGGGCCCGCTGGGCTGACCTCTGCGAGTGGGCAACTGCCCTGTCCGTCCCACACCCATGGACACCCACTCGGCCAGACCCTGGCAGCATGAGGCCACACACTGAAGCCCACCGCAGGGCAGCATGGGAGCCAGCAAGGCCAACGCCCTTTCTTCCACTTCCTTCCGTGTCTCCCCTCTGTCCACCACCTCTTACTTCATTTCAAACAGGGCTACTACAACACACTTTATTTCACTGGAAAAAATCTGTACGAAGGACCAAATGGGGCTCCTGCGAAGAAAACATTTGCCATGGCTTAAATAAAAGCGAAGGGAGGAGGTGGGGTAGGAGAGCCCCGCCCGTGCTAGCTCTGTGACTGCCTCACTCTCAGAGGCCCCGAGTGATAGAAATCGCAGGTGCCCCAGGGAAGTCTTGCCTGGCCGTCTGGGGAGGCCGCGAGAGCACCTGTGACGTCTGTGAGCTGCTGCGGCCCTTAATCAAAAATATTCGGAGAAACTGAGCACAGAGGGAACCAGATGGGTGTTTTCACCTAGTCAAACACAGGCAGGAACACTTCAACTAGGAAGTAAAATATATATAATTTATCAAAAAATAGTTCTAATATATAGAAAAACATTGCAATTCTCTGAGGCCTCTACCCCTTATTTACATTCACAAAGCCACTGAGCAAACCCAGGACTAACTAGGGAACAGGGAGGCGGGCTTGCCCTGGCAGGGCGTTTCAGCTGCCTACTACAGAAACAGACGGGAAGAGAGAAGTTAAAGGGATAGTGGTGACTTTTTCACTGGCTCTTTTTGTGACAGGATGGAATGAACTCCCTGGAGATGAAAAGAGCAAGACTTAGTCCCGGGTCAGTTTCGACTCCTAACAGACCCCAAAACGGACCTCTGAAAACTTGGACCAATATCCTTGGTCCTTGAGAACCAGTGTGAAAAGGTGGCCAATGTGAATGCTTTGTTGCCATGGAACCAATGTGGCTTGTGGCCTTTTTTCATTTTTTCTTCTTCCCTCAAAATGCAGGTGGATAAGTTACTGGGTGGGGAAAGTACCAAAACCTTGAGGTGACAGGTGGGATCAGACGGAGAGCATACTACACCAGCTTCTTGGCCTCAAAGAAGCTTTTGAGATGACGCATCTGCCAGATGCCGGTAAGGATGAGGATGACCGTCTGAGCAATGGACCACCACAGGACCCTCTGGTTGGTGCTCTCGCTGGTAAGACGGAAGCGTTCCTCACGATACTGCGCAGGACAACAGACCAGGGTTAGAGGCGCAGAGGAAATGCCCCTGGCTGCTGGGACGCCCCTCCCTCCTGTGCGGGATTCAACTTCAGAACCAAGTGCCTTCTGAAACACCGCCCCCAATTCCACTGGCAGTGGCCTCCAGGGTGGCGTGCTGCCCTCCACAAGCATCCCTGCGGGGTGGGCAACAACCACTACTGCCAGACTGGAGACCATCCTCTCTTCGCTGGTCTATGAAGCTTTAAGACAGCTATGGAGACCCATAATCCCCTGCGACAGCTGATCTCCCAAGTAGGAGAGGCCTCAAGCAGAAACTTCCAGTAGGCACAGCGGGTACAAAGGTCAGCTGCCACGTCCCAGTACAGTCGTGCGCTTACCCTCTGGTAATCCTGCTCCTTCTGGATCTGCTCCACCTGATCAAGCAACTGGCGAGCTCGGAGCTGCAGCTCAGTCAGCTTATCCTTGGCAGCGATCTCGGGGTAGTTGTTGGCATGCTCCCCACCCTGGATGTCTAGGTGCACACGCTAGAAAGAGACGGGGTGGGAGCCCGGGGGTCCGAAAGTCAGAAACCCTCTGAGGTTACAGTGTCTGAGCCCAGGGGCCTCTGACTCTGTTCCAGGCTACGGAACCTACTCTGATACCTGCTGTGTCTGTCTCTCTGTGACTGTGTCACAAAGCGTCACAAACAACGATGGCCATGAACTCAAAACTTGGCAGAATCATGCGAAAGATTCCGAACTGTGGCCAAAGAGAACAGTCTCTTACCAGTCTGCCGCCAGCAAAGAGGGACATCTTGGTGGAGTTCGAGTGCAGGCAGATCTGGTGGTCACCAGGAGTGTGGGAAGTAAAGGTGAAGCGGCCCTCCGAGCCATACTGCCGGGACAGCACCACCTGCAACAGGACAGAGAGAGCCCCTACCTGTACTGTCACCTGTCCCAGGGCACGCTCACGTCCTCTAAGCTCCTCGCGTCCCAGGTAGCTCTAGCGAAGGAGGTTCCGACGGAGTCTGCAAAGCGCCCGTGCCCCAGTCTGAGCATGACCAGCAGCGACCCTACCTTGCCTTCGGGGTCCTTCACCTCCACGTGCATGCCCAGGCCCGGGGTCGATGGCAGAAAGACCTCCTTCTGCTTGTCCCACATCTGGGTGCGGTAGTTCCCTGAGGAGCAGACAGAGCCGTCACGACCCGCCTGCTCCGCGCGGCTCCCACACTCCGCGGGGCGCCGTGGCCGCGTCTGGGGGACACGCAGGGCCCTGTCCTCCCTCGCCCCGCCTGACCGATGACCATGGTCTCGTCGGGGATTTCCTCGATGAAGCAGCGCTTCTCGGTCTCGCCGATGTGGAAGTAAAGGCCATTGGCGCCAGCTGCGCACAGCGCGAGCAGCAGGAGCGCCGGTTGTCCCATCGCCCGCCGCCACCCGTCCAGACACCTGCCAACGAGCGCTCTCGGCTAGGCGCACATGCGCGCGCCTGCGCCCCAGTCCCGGCGCCGCATCGGGGCCGGACACAGAGTGCGCATGCGCTGTGGCTCCGGCCCGGCGTCCGTTCCTATCCGCAGGTCTTCCGGGCCATGCAGTGCGGCCAGAGAGTAGAGTGCGCATGCGGGGGACGCCCGGGGGCCCCTTCCCGACTCCCCGGAGATGCTCTCCTCGACATCTACCTAGCGCGCCTTCCGCCCTGTGCGCACGCGCTCGCCTGCGCCTCACTTCTAGGAGTCGCTGCGCAGCCGGAGTCGGAACGCGCACGCGCTGGTTCGCTTGCGCTCCGACACTCTGCTGGCGTCGGGTCCTGCCTGCGTAGGGGGGTGCCGCGCTCAGAGGCCGGGGGCTCGGCACCGGGGAAGGAGCGTGGGGTCTCGCGCAGGGGAGGCTCGAGTTGGTGGGGCTTTGGAGTGGCCCGCGGTCGTGCCGGCGTTTCCCGACCCTTGTGTTGGCGACACTGGCTGAGCAGGTGCGGGAACAGGGACCATGCAGACCGGGACCGGGACTGATGGGGACAAGTGTCTTTTAGTCAACATTTTACTGGACCTTGCACCTGTGGGGTGAGGCGTGACCACGGCCTTGTTTTGTAACCGCAGTCCCCGCGGTGTTCTCTCAGCCTGTGGCCTGCTCGCTGTTTCCTAGGTGAAGATTTGGGACATGCGGTGACCTGGATTCGGGCTGCTGGGCCGCTGGGAGGTACACCTGGGGCCCAGCCTCCAGTGCTGAGCGCCTTCCTGCTGAACACAAAGAAACCCTGCCGGTACCGTCCTTGGCGAGCTGGACAGACAACCCTCCTGGAGACTAAAGAACGCAGTTGGCAAGGCAGGGCCTCCCAACAGCTGTTGGGCGGGGGAAACTCAAATCTCTCTTCTTCAGAACCTGGAAATTTGGGTGTGGTATGAAACTTCCAGATTTTTAAATAATAGCATTTGGCTCACTTCTGTCTGATGGAGCGGACAGTGAACACTCTGTGGCCACGTTGGGCAGTCTGACCTCTGGTCAGATCTGGACTAGATTGCCCTCACAGCTTTCCCTCGAACTTTGGCCGAACAAGTGGTGCAAACTGGCCAACATCTGTGCTAGAGAATGAGGAAAACTCAGAATGAGCAGGGTCATGGACGTGTTTACGTCTCCTAGTAACACCTCTTCTGCGGGGCAGAGTAAGATGGAAACCAAAGCACATCATAACTGGATGTGGAATCACAGCAGAGGATGGCTGAAACTGTTTTACACTTTGTATAAATAGAATTTCCAAACCCACATAAACATATAAGTTACAGGGAACTTTCCTATACTCATCACGCACCTTGACCAAAAATCAAATTTTTGCCTTTCATTTCTTCCTGCATTTTTTCCCTTAAGTATATTGAAGTATATTTTTCCAGACATCACATCTCTGACAAGGACTACAAAATTAAACACAATTCTTTAATGCTTTCTAATACTTAACATATGATAAGTTCCCCCCATTGTCTCAGAAAACTGTAGTTTACTCAGGGTCCAAACAAGGTAAACCCACTGCATTCGCTGATCTTTTTTTTTTTTTTAATTTTAAAAAATGTTTTATTTATTTCTGAGAGAGAGAGACAGCGTGAGAAGGGGAGGATCAGAGAGAGGAGACACAGAATCCGAAACAGGCTTCAGGCTCTGAGCTAGCTGTCAGCACAAGAGCCCAATGCAGGGTTTGAATCCATGAATTCTGAGATCACGACCTGAGCTGAAGTCAGACGTTTAACCGACTGAGCCATGTAGGCCCCTAGAAACACATTGTTCTAAGACCTGGGACACAATGGTGAACAAAACAAAAATCCTTGTCCTTGTGGATTAATTTTGATTATTGCCCTTCAATAAATAACATATAGCATGTCAGACGGAGGTCAGTGTCAAGGAGAAAAGTAAAGGAGGTGCGACGGTACGGAATGTAGGGGGATGGATGTCATCTGGGTTTGAATCCCTGGAAGCTGTGAATGTGACCTTACTTGGAGAGTCTTTCCAAATGTAATTAAGGATCTTCATGCTTACCCACATGGGCCCTAAGTCCAGTGACAAGTGTCTTTATAAGAGACACAGAGATACTTGCATACCTGTGATAGCCGTTGCAGTAAGAGTACTATACAAAAACAAACAGAAAATAAGTAATTAGTGAGGATGTGAAGAATTCTATAAGAGCCCCTGTGAGCTGTGGGTGGCACTGTGAATGGTACAACCACCATGGACAATAATGTGCAGGTACGGGAAGAAATTAAAACTGGTAACTGCCATGACCCAACCATCCCCCTGCTGGGTAGATCTCTTAAGAGTAGTGAAGGCAGGATCTTGGAAAGACACTGGGCATAGCCAGGCTCACAGCAGCACTATTCACGACGGCCGAGAGTAGAGGCAACCCCAAAGGCCCATCAACGGATGAACAGATGAGAGAGAAAACGTGGTATATACACACTCATGAAATATTATTCAGCCTTAAGAAGAGAATTCCGCAATATATTACAACATGGGTGAACCTTGAGGACATGACGTTAAATAAGTGTGTTACAAAAGGCAGATGCTGTATGATTCCACTTATAACAGGCTATCTAAAGTAGTCAAATTAGTGGAGACAGAGAAGAACGATGGGTGCCAGGGCTGGGGGTAGGGGAGGACGGGGAATTGTCTGATGGACAGAGATTCAGATTTGCAACATGAAAAGTTTTGGAGATTGGTTTCACAATACTATAAATGTCACTGAACCGTGCACTTAAAAAGAGAGCTACACAAAGAAAAGGAGCAACCATGTGATCACAGAAGCAGACATGGCAGGGATGCGGCCACAAGCCAAGGAATGGCTGGAGCCACCAGAAACTGAGGGACAAACAAGAAAATCCTAGAGCCTCTTGAGGGAATACAACTCAGCTGACATCTTGATTTTGGACTTCTGCTCTCTGGAATTGTGGGAGAGTAAGTTTCTAGTCTGCTTTTTTTTTCTTTTTTAATGTTTTTTATTTATTTCTGAGAGAGAGGGAAAGAGAGACAGCATGAGCAGGGGAGGGTCAGAGAGAGAGACACAGAATCTGAAGCAGGCTCTAGGCTCTGAGTTAGCTGTCAGCAGAGAGCCTGACGCGGGGCTCGAACCCACGAACCGTGAGATCATGACCTGAGCCGAAGTCAGACGCTCAACCGACTGAACCACCCAGGCACCCCTCTGGTCTGCTTTTTAAATTATTATTCATTTTTTTTTCCCCCAAGAGAGAACATGAGCAGGGGAAAGGCAGAGAGAGAATTCCAAGCAGGCCCTGCACTATCAGCACAGAGTCCAACGCAGGGCTGAAACCCACAAATTGCGAGCTCATGATCTGAGCCAAAATCAAAAGTTGGATGCTTAACCCACTGTGCCACCCAGGCACCCCAATTTCTGTTCTTTTAAACCACCGTGTTTGTGGTGATTGGTTATGGCAGCCACAGGAGACCATCATAGAGGGCATCTGGTTAGAGGCGGGCAGGTACAATGGAGTGGCTAAAGAATGCTCACTGAGAAGATACCATGTGAGAGAGGCCCTCAGGGGTGGGGCAGGGAACACGGAGACCTGAAGAAAAAGCAAGAGCCCCAAGGCTGGTGTGGGGTGTGAGGTCACAGGGGCCAGTGTGGCAGGAGGAGCAGGCATGGGGGATGGAGAATGAAGAAATGAGGTCATAACCAGGGTGGGAGAATTGGGTGGGTCAGGCCTCTTAAAGGAGTTTGGCAAAAGAATCCCTTAGGGGATTCTGAGTGAGGAAGGACTTGATCTAATTCCTATTTTAAGATTATCATCCTGTCCAGGCAGCAAATGATCACTGCCAAACAAAGGCTCATCAATGGATCAAAGGATCAGAATGTTGTTCTAAGTAAATGGTTCATCTAAATCAGGTCTTCTGAAACTCAAAAGTTCAAGAGCAGTGTGAGGAAACGATAAGGCAAATTCAAAAGATGGAGCAATTGGCGTCTACCTTCCAACAACTGAAGTCAAAATAGAAAAGTAGGGGAGACGTACTTGAAAACTAGTGCTGCACAATGACACAGGCACGTGAGCCGCCACTGGGCCCTGTGTGCTAGAATGTCTGCCATGACCCATGCCAACCTCCCCTCCCCGCCCCCAGTGTCCCCACGCCACTCAGCCTGAAAGAGGCAAAGCCTGTCTCCACCCACAGGGATTTGGACTGACCGGCGGCTTCCCCGACTCAGGACTCAGTGCTATGCAGCAAAGCAGCGTGGGCCCTGGGCCTGAGCCTTCCTCGGAGGCCTGGGAGCTCCCGCTTCCCCTCCCTGGGAACCCAGGACATGTGAAGATCAGCCCACCCCAAGCAGCCACCAGTCACTGGAAGGAAGCCGCATTGGATCCTCCAGTCCCAGGGGGGCTGCCCTGGCAAATGCCACATGGAACAGAGATGAGCTATCCCCGCCAAAACTGCACTTTGCAACTGGCAAAAACGAGGACACGCTCTATGGGCTGATATAGAAAGACCTGCAATGGATTGCTACATTAGGAAAGCAAGGTGCAGAAGAGAGTAGGGAGTGGCTGGAAAATAGTGGAAGACTCTAGAAGATTCTAGCATAAGTGGTCACTTAGAGTAACATGAGTATTTGGCCAATACACACCAGTATGCTTGCACTGGTTAAGATAGAAAAATACTTTCCTACTTGGTAAATGGCTATTCCCCAAGCCCCTGGATCCCCTCCACCTCTAGTATCTACCCCAAGATGACAAATCCAACAAATACAGAGCTACCCCCGGCACAGATGACATCTGGCAGGCCAGCAGACAATGAAGTGGATGGTAACAGGGTATAAGAGAGTTTGCAAACTAGACCTTTTAATATCTTGTTCATTTCTGAACCATGTGAATACGTCACCTATTTAATAAAACCGATTTAAAAACTAAAACACAGCTACCACCATTCGAAATCCCTTTGATGGATTTCGGCTACTGTCAATCGCTAGCTTGTTTGTCCTATAATTATTAGCTCCATGACAACACAATTTC